TTCTAGTTGTCAATTAACTTACTTGGATCTCCCTGGGATACCGGCTCCAATGATTGTGTGCTTAATTCTTCTTTTGGAACAAATCCTGGAAAGAGCAGTAAAACTTTTGGTGACTTACAGGCACAGGAAGCATCTGGCCTTACCCCAGGGAAGGGGACATGATGAATATTCACACCCAGCTCAGGAGCTTGGTTTATAGCTAACTCTGCTCTTTTGTACACCACCCCCATCCTGAGAAAAATAAGAATAAATTAAGAAATACTGACAGCCTACCAAAGACAGTATTCTGCTGGCTGTTCAGAATACTCAAGATCTGCTTCTATTAACTCATTCTATCTGAATCTCAATTCCCTTATCTGAAACATTTTGCTGGCCTAAAGGTTCCTCTGTAAAATTCTGAAAATCTTGAGGGCAGGAAGTGTGTTCTCTCGTTATATAAACCTTCCCTGTGCCCGGCACCTGCAGGTCCTCCGCCTCCTCTGTTCCTTGACAGCAAGTCAAGGAACAGAGATGAACGACAGGAGGAGCGCAACCTGAGGGGGGCTGGATGCTAACCGGAGGAGAGCCACTTAGATAAAAGTAGCTCAGATAAGAGGGTCTAAACCGCCACCTCTCCCTTCAGTAGTTGTTCAGACTGTAGGTAAAAATGCAAAAATGTTTAGAGCCTCGAGTGGCTGTGTGTCAGATAAATTTCAGCCGTGTGTGCCCACACATGTGGGTCTTTACGTCCAATTCCAGGAGGTGCCAAGTTCATAAATACACCTTGCTAGGAAATCATGACAATAAATGAAAATCCTTTTAGGCTTGGGAGTCCCATAGGATTCGCAGGCACGGCCAACCAGCAGCACCGGAAGTGAGTGCTGGAACTCCCGGGAGCCTCGGGCGGTGGAGGAAGGCGCTGGGATCTCCACTTGCTCTTAGCGGCAGTGAGCCCTCTCCTGACTTGTTATTTTTCCAGTTTGCAAAGCGCATGATTTCATCTTCCCCTTAAAGGTCAGCTCGCTCATCCTACTTCCTCACGTCCTTTCAAACTTCACTTTGGGTGTCTAACAACGTTTCTCAGCCAGGAGCGGCGCAGGAAACGCCCAGTGCTGAGCCCGAGACGCAGGGGGAGAGGTGAAGGCGAGTACCCCTGCTGATGGCATCTCCCCTCACGCCAGGAGCACCACCCATTCACCTGACGGGGATCCCTGAATACCGTTTTGCAAAGAAAGAAGGGGAAATAAAGGAAGTCGAAGCGTGTTGCCAGACGGAGTGGGGGTCTAAATCCATCTTTGGGGTGGGAAGCAAACTCCCATCTAGCTTTTTTGTCTTCACGTTTCTTTTCTCGTTTGCTACCCAAGGTTACCTCCTACCTCAGGTTTCCTTGGGAAAGTTTCAGTGCCCTTCTCAGGGTCATCCCGACACCATCGGAAAGGCTGTTGTGGTGAACTTGGCTTCTTGTGCCATCAGCTGGAGTTCTAGACTCCTCTGCTAGTTTTGGGATCTTCTGCATCTTGATCTAGTTATGGCTGAGAGGTTGGTCAGTGTAATTACCTGCATCTAAAAGGGCTGATCCGGGTTTCCACAGCTCCATTTCTCCTTTCAAAATAAAAAAGAAACAAACTTGTTGCTTAATCCGACCAGCAGAAACTCTCAAGTAAACGTCTAGGATGCTAAGATTTCCCAACTGTGGCAGGAAGTTCAGTAGAGGAACAGGCAACCAGAATCTTGGATGGAGCAACCTGAAATCTGTGATTTTTCCCTTCTAAAACAATTAAAGCCAAAGGCATAAATCTTTTTGCCCATTTCTTTCTTTTACTATGCAGTAAGTCTCAGGGAATAATAGGAATCCTAAGATTGCAAAGGATCTACAAACTCATCTAATACAAAGCAATACCTCCCGGTCTGGTTCTACAACATCCCCACTGAGTAAAGGGCTGGTCGGTGCTTGAATATCTCCCGAGATGGGGAACTCACGACAGATCTGGCCGAAGTTGTCTGTGTGTGTTCATTCCTTCTTGGATTGTTGAGACTGAGAAAGCTTTGATTTTATCAGTCTGAAATCTTTGACCTAAGGCTTTATTCATCCATCCATCCTCCACACACATCCATATTATAGACCCAATATGTGCTTAATATCATTCTAGGCACTCGTTGGTTTGAATTCTCTTCCTTGAAGCTGCAGAGAACAAATCTGGCCCCTTCGGGGTGAAGACAATCCATTTGCTTCCCAAGTTTTTGCTTCTCACCGTGTGCTTCCAGCAGAGTAAAGCAAAGCGGCGAGGCATTCTAAATGCGGGAAGACGCCTACCATCCTTTACCACAAAGTGGTGCTGCTACAGTAGAACGGGTACTGGGGCAGGGGAGATCCTGACCCAACGGTCCTCGAGCTGTTCTGGGGAGTTACAGCTCAGAGGCAGCACAGACATTTTAGGAAACCTCTTGAGACGCTGTTTCCCTTTCTTCATCTCTCCCTGCCTCCTTCCTTCTCTGCCAGCTCAGAAGTCCGAGCGCATGATCAAGCAACTGTTGCGTTTCTTAAAGGCTATCAGCTTTGCTGCTGTCTGGATTATTCACACACTCGAAAGAAGTGATATTTTTCTAGATGTGATTAAGACACCAGGCAATTTTGAAAGGTAACGTGCACTCCTGCATATTCTGATTTAATGGTGAATTTAATCTTGCTCAGCCATTAACTAGGTGTGTGACATTGAGCAAGTCATGCACCCTTGATGAACCTTCATTTCTCTGGAAATAGCATCAGTAGATTGGGTGACATGGTCTCCACATTTTAAAAAAAATATGATTTATATTGAGCGTTTGCTACTTTAGCCTTATTACTTTATCGCCATCTACTGATGAATATACGCACTGTTCCTTCTTTCCTTAAAAAACCATATTGTTGACTTCTTCAGTTTTTGTCCGCACCTGTCAATGGCAGGAAAGTTAGAGCTGAGCGCTCTGCCCCTTTGGTAGAACACCAGCAGTCAGGGGTTTCCAAGCCTCTCAGTCCTCCCCTGGAGTCCTGTCCTTCTGTTACTGCCACTTTCATTTTGTTTGGGACAAGCTTGAGCCAAATTACATTCATCCAAAAGCCAAGGGCTGGAAAATATTTGGACAGCTGAGACATGGTGATTTTTGGACTTGGTAGTAATGGGAAGTAAGTTTGTGTGGATATTTGGATTCTGGCATCAAGGGGGAGCAGGGTAGGGTAGGGTAGAGTACAAAGTCAGAAAGTCCATCTGGGGTCTACCAAACGCTAGCTGGCGGCTTGGCGCTACCTTCTCTTTAGTTCACTCAGGTTTTCTCTTTGTGAAGGGGGAGGCCTTAAAGACTTGTCCTGCGCTGCCTCAAATGGAGAACAGTCTCGATGGAGGTAAGTGTATATAAAATCACGCTCTAAAAGACGGGATTATTTTTGTGACAATCTTTGAGCGTTTCACGGATGTAGTCAGGCCTAAGAGAAGTATTGATTCTAAACAATTTCTCTGTTAAAAATGTAGACACCATGAGCATGTATTGAGAGCTGGCTTAGTATCAGGCACATGTGTTAAGTCACAATAACCCTCTGAGTTGTATTAGCTGCAACCCATTGTACAGGTGAGGAAACTGCTATGCAGGAGGAGCCTACAGGAGGAATGATGGTCACGTTGGCATCTCAGGGCACTTGGTTAGGGCCCTGGTGAACTAGGCCCGGCACAGCCACCTGTAGTCCGCATCACTGTGGCTAAGTTTTCACAAGGGCCTGGCACCGTTCCTGCTGCTAAGACTCTGGTGACGGTTTTGTGCCAGGCACAGCTCCTTCTGTTCCTTCGTGCATCTGGAAGGCACACACATGCGGGCCCGGGTAACACGTGGCCCTTGGTGTTCTTGAGTTTTGGGGACAGAAGTCCAGGTGGCTTTTCAGCTACTTGGTTTTTCCCAGGTGGCTCTGCAGGGGTGCAGTTTTAGGAGGAAGTGGCAGTCTGAGGGGCAGCAGGGGGTTCTTGGCCTCCTTTCCTCGGCCTGGCTGCATGCCCCCAGGGCTGGACGTTTCCCTGGGAAAACCTCTCCTTCCTGTACCTCGGTGGGAAGCACGAAGAGAGCAGAGCTCTGCAGCTGTGCTGAAGGCGTCGCCGTGCCTGCCGTCCATCACCTGGGGACTTGCAGAGGAGGCAGGGCAGCCTGCGGTCCTGGGCATCCAGCAGGACGTGAAGTCCAGTTCCAGGCATTTGAAAAGCTCTCAGTCTTGAAAGACTCTCGAAGAGTCTCGGCCTCTTTATATTCTTTAAAAATTATTGAGGATCCTAAGAACTTTGGTTTGTGTGGGTTGTCGCTATTAACTTTTATCACTTAAAAATTAAAACTGCACTTTACAACAGAATATTAATTTGCAACACATTTAATCATTAATTCATAAAAAAGTAGACCTATTGTATTTTAACATAATTTGTGGCTTTTTATTGAAAATAAGCATTTTCTAAAACAATTCGCTGAGGAGAGTGATAACTTTCTTCAGTGTCTGTCATAATGAAGACAGCTAGACTGTGGTATTAGCTGCTACAGTAGATCTGTGGTGATGTGTTGTTTTTGTGGAAGTATATGAAGAAAATCTACCCGGATACAGATGAAGTCACAAGGAGGAAATCCCAGACTTCCTGGAAACCTGGTCTCTGGACCACATTCTGAGAACCATTGGTTTAGACAAATTTGGATCAATAGGCTAAGGATCCGGGTAGTTATGTCTAACAACGCCATCCACTGGAGGAAGATGCTAGGCAACTCTCTCTCATGTGAAGTTATTCAAGATAGAGTAAAAACCTCTATTGGGTACCCCATAAGGGATTCATTTTTTGGTGGGTGGGTAATTAGACTGATACATTTTATACAGTTCTTTCCAATTCCATTAACCGATGATCTTACAGTTGAGTAACTGGGCCTCTTGCCTGACCTGAATGACTGTGTGTGACATCAGAATTGGATGAAGAATCTCTAAGAGCCCCAGATGTTCTGCCCTGCCTTCACTTAGAGTGAAGGAGCCATGATGGGGTTTTGAGGCTGGCCTATGTCTGAGCAGCTTAGGGCAAGAGGGTCTTCCAAGCACACCCTCCCACACTCTGAGAGCTCATGGGAGGGTCCAAGGTGCTGAGAACACTTTCAGGGATGATGGTGAGGAAGAGAGGGGCAGAGAAATGGGTAGGGTTTGAGATTAGATGGGAGCTGGGCACATCTATGTGGATCAGTAAGACAGAGTGCAAATATGGGGAACATGAAGGCGAATGAAGAAGCAGCAGCAACGCTCAGAGTTAAAGAACTGGAGGGAGGTAAGGGTAGAACACAGGGAATGACGGGATATACATTTGGCAGAGAGGTCAGGCAGTGAAAAATAGAGATTGGGTAAAATGCCTCATTGCTAGTCCTCTCCCCACACCATGTCTGATTCACGTGGCGTACTTGGATATGTGGTACCGTGGATGTATCCAGAGGCCATAAGAGTTGCACAGGCTGCTTGTGGGGGAAACCTTGAGGGGCATCTGAGGTGACAGACTTTTCTCTTTGACACTCCTAGAGCCAACAGAGCAAAGAGGTGTTTTCTCAGAGTTAAAATATAATCGTGTGTCCTCGAACTCTGGTGACGCAGAATTGAGCTGCAGAGGCCAAGCGTGAGTGTGAGGGAAGATCCACACGCACAAGCGCGCAGTACTGCAGAGCAGAGCCCTAAGGTGCAGGGGTGGTGAGGGGCGGGCACTTACCCAGGCTGACATCTGCTCCCACAGGCTTCTGGAAGGCAGCCCCCGCAGAATCCGGCCTTTGGATACCTGAAGGGGTTACACAGGGTCAGCCGATGTATACACAGCCAGCACCCTTCTCAGATTTCCCCCTGATGAAAAAATGACCCTAGTTCACATTTCCCTTGGAAGTCGGCTGAGGTTTTGGTGCTTGACTCTACTTTTGGGAGTTTCAGAGGAGGCAGAAATCCTGGGGGAGGGGACAAGCAGAGAGTGCCCCCATGTCTCCTGAACAATCCCACGGGCCTGCTGAGGCCCAAGATGGCCTTGGAGTCCTTGTCCTGCCCAAAATTCTGATTCCTACAATCTTTTGTCCAGGATTGCAGCATGTATGTTGGCAAAGGTGCAAATGTCAAGTTCATGAAAGCTGCTTGCCGTGACTCAGGGACCTTGGGGTCCCTGATCTGATCCTATAATCCCTAGCAATCTTTTAACATGTAGAGGGCAGACACGTGTCCGCTAGTAGGAGGAAGACCTGAACACCTCTCTTTTGTGGGTCCCTGCCTTGGATCCTGCCTCTGTGGCCTCAAAGGGGATGAGATAGCGCCGTTAATCCTGACAGCTCAAGGGCCAGGCCCTGATCAGACGTTTGTGGAAAGCATCTAACTTCCTCAGCTGTTGCCCTAATCACTGCAAGCCTCAACAGTGTTGGAAAGCGCAGCATTTGCTGTGTCCCCAGTTCTTGACCAAACCGTGAAGGAAACACAGAGGTGAAGAAAGGTGGACCAGAGGTGCCACCCCGCAGAGGCATGTGAGAATGTGCATGTCCTAGAAGTGCCAAAGCAAAGTCACCGCTGCCCTTCCCAGGAATTGATAAAAATTTCCCTCTCTTTTACCCTGGTTCCTCAAGCGTAAACCCCGGAGGGTACCCCTTTCAGTCTGTAAAGGGCCTGGTTACTGAATCCTTAGGACTTTCTGTTGCCGCCTCCACGAAATCCCCTCAAGGGAATGGAGATTGGGTAAAAGGTGTTGCTTATTCAATGGACTTTCCCTACAAGTCGGGGCCCTGAGCTGTGTCTTCCGTTGCCCTCACTGGTTTAATGCTCTCTGTCCAAGTGTAAATCAAATGGTAGCAATTTGGAAAATATGAATCCCATGGAAACAAGTTTGAGTTTCCTCAGGGGCTGGCGAGGGAGTTTAGGTTCTTACCTGGGTTGGCACCGGGGCTGTTTTGGCCGCTTGCGTAGCTGGTGGTGGACCAGAGATCTGTAATCACATTTGACTGATCAGAGCATGAGTTTAAATGTAACTCATTCTTTCCATGATCCAACCAAGCATGACATTACCAAGGTCAGATCCAAGGTAAGGCCTGTCCTTGGGCAGTCTGAACCTGCCCTGGAAGAGGCGTTGCAATGGGCTGTGGTGGGGAGGATTTAACAATGCACTGAGTGAGTCCAGATAATAATACCCCTGTATTTCGCAATTGTCAAAGTATCTTTCACAAGAATGCCACATTTCTGTTCACTTCATTATCACAATAATTCTCCTCAGCTGTGCCACTGGTAGGAAGGTTAAAGTAACCCCTCAATAGAAATGTCACTTAACATTTAGCAGTTTGCTTAAACTGCATTCACATGGTATAGATGCAAATAACATCAGCTTTTAGGAACCTCTGGAGGTGCACACTGGGTTATCCCTAATTACTCTCTGAAAGAGTTGAGCACTTCAACATTCATTATGTATTGGGCAATTTCTTTGAAGCAGTTTCACAAAGGAGGAGGGCGGAATTCAAATGCAAAGAAGGCCCTGTAAAAGCCAGCCCAGGGCAAGACCCAAGTGTCCTGGACAGGAGATAAGAGGTCGTGGAAGGAGACCAGTTTCTCTTCGAACTGGGTCCATTCGCTTGTGACTCCTTTTGTCTTTCCTCCAATTATTTGAGACAACCTTAATGCAGTTTTATTTTCTAACTATGAAATAACACAAGCTCATCATAAAAAAGTCCATGTACTAGGTGTAGTAGGAAATTGTTTTTTATCCTGTATCTAGCAGTTACTGGTACACGATTTTGGAAGGTAAAGATGCATTCCTTTTCTATGCACGTGTTCTCAAACACAACACACAATTACACAAATGAGGTTGGCACCCGTGCTGTTTTGTAGCCTGCTTCTTGGAACTATCTGCCATAGGCTAGTTTTCTTATGTGGGTGAAGTGCATGGAGTCGTCAACAAGATTTTAATAGCTGTGTAGCAAATTCTTTAACTATTCTTCTAATGATGGGTAATTAAATCATCTCCATTTATTTTTCTATTATGCATAACATCTGTATCCGTGCTCCTTTTCACTCTTGGTTGATAATTACCTTAGGGGGCATTCCCATAGGTGTTGCATCTCCACATTCTTATCCAAACTGTGTATTAGTAATTTCCAACATGAATTGGTGCAAAATGGCATCTTGTTGTTTAATTTGCACTTAGTTAATTCTCAGTGAATTTGAATGTTTCTTTTTTGATATGCATATGTATTGGCCACTTGGGAGTCTTCTACTGTGGCTTGCCTGATTATGACCTTCCCTCATTTTTCTTTTCTTTGAGTGCTTACCTTTTTCTTAATATTTGCAAGACTGAATTTTATGAAAAATATTTTCCAGACACCTTAAGGAAAATAAACTTTCACGGGTGAGAAAAATGCTGTTGAGAAGTGAAATCGCACATGACATTGTACTTGCAGCAGTGGATGCTGGTCTCTCTTCCTGGCCCCAGTTCCACGGCTTCCTCGCCCTTAGCTTCCCTTGGTCAGAGGGAGAAGTAAAAGATGAATGAGCACAGGCATCGTCATACCTTCCCACTAGGCGGCGTTCTTCCATCTCTTGTCTACCCAGGCTTATGGGCACATTTAATGATAGGTAGCCGAGGCAACCATGGCACTTCTTGCAATGAACTTGATAGGAAAACAATGCTGGGTGCAGCCACTCCTTCTGCTATGCCCAAGATAGAGCCAGCTCATCCCAGATCTAGGCCTGGGGGGATTTTACATTTTTCCAGAATTCTTTCCTGGGGATCTGGCTCTTTAGGCTCCTCCTCGGGGCCTGGGGTGCAGCTCTGTGGCTGCCTGACTTATGGGGGTGCCAGCATCACCCTGGCCTTGGCCTTGGCCTCTTCTAGAAGGAGCAGCCTTGCTCCTGCCTCTGTGAGAAGTCTCCATTGCCCTTGTTCTTAGGTCCCTTACTTCTATCCTTGACTCATTCTTTTCTGTCTTGTGTGGTTTGCCATTCATGGATCGGTTAAAGGCCCCTAGTGTGTCCAGTCTACCTCCCTCGGAGTCCTTCCCTCTGCATCCGCTCCTCTTCCTGGCTGGAGAGGGCCCCTGTTGTCTTTCTGCTACCAATCTCTTTTGGGGTGTCTCCAAGTTCCTGTGTCCTGTGTGAGAAGCAGCTCTTCACTCACTGTAGGACAAAGATGACTCATTGATCTCAAACACGGAGAGCTCCTGCTGGGTGTCCCAGGCCAAGGTGACCTGCAGGGCTCCTGGTGGGAGGTATTTGCTGACGGAGCCCTTGATCCTAGAACAGTGCCTGACACATAGTAGGCATTCAGTACATATTTGTTGAATGAATAAGCGAACAGATTTTGCTTGACTGTCCTGTCCACAACTGCTTTTAGAATCTTACGACTGCCATCAAATATGTAACACAGAGACCTCGTAATAATTGCAATCATAGCAACTCACTTGTCCATCAGCAGTACGAGGAAACGTCTCATAATTGGCAGAATGTTTTCAGCTCACTTGAAGAAAAAAAGGAGCTATCTGAGTGCTAACTATTATTTCATTTAGTTGGGCTACAATATTAGAGGAAATATCTGTATTCAGCTGTTAAGGTAGGCAGTCATGAAAGTAGAAGCAGCAGAGTAGGGGCAGTTGGGGGAAATAGCAAGTTCTGTTCATGGGGTTTCTTTGTTCATTGGGGTTTCTTTCAGGGAAGGAAAATGTTCCGAAATCCATTGTGGTGATGGCCACACAAGGCTATGGATATACAAAAACCCATTGAATTGTATGTTTTCGTGGACAAATTGTTTAGTTATATGAAAAATATCTCAACTGTCTCAAAAACATCAAAACTGTCCTCAAAAGAAGATGTAAGTATTTCAGCATCAATCTTCACTTCTTTTCATGCCTACAGAAAATCCTCTGTGTAGGCAACACAATTTGGCTCTTTCCTCGGCAGGGTGTGTTTCACAGAGCGCTTGTGTTGCGGATCTGTCTAGCACTCTCTGGTCAGCTTGCAGGCGGGTGCTGGACAAGGATGAAGAAGCAACACTGATGGACCAGGAGGCTGTGGCTCAAAGCCCCTACACCCAAGCCAGGAATAATGAAGCTTTGCCAGCTTGGAAGCCACTACTTCAAGTTTCTTGAGGTTTTCCACAGCACGGTCCAACTTGCAATAGGATTTCCAAGCTCCCAGTGTAGCCAAATAAATATGCCACATATTTAATTGTAAGTGTTATGTAAGGATTGACGTGCCGTAAGACACCAGGAGCAAACGGCGCCTCCGATACTCAAACCTCTTCAAAGGAATCAAGGGGCCTAAAGTCAGAAGGCTGAGACTGACAATGGGACCACTGTCCGCCTTTGCCACGGGTGTCCTTCCTCGCTGTTTCTCTGTCGCCATCAGGTCTTGTGTGCCTCTGTTAACATCAGCCTGCATTGAACATGACCAGGGTGCTGGGGAAGTGTTTGATGTATTTCAACTTCCAGAGATGATTTCTATAATGTTCTTGTTTTGGAATTTTCTATTGTGGATTTCCAAGAGTCATCCATAAAATGGAATAATAATCATCACCCTATTTCACAGAGTTGTTGGGAAGATTTAAAAAACAAAATGGTGCATGCAGTGGGCCTGGTCCACGTGGTCATGCACCGTGTGCGCTCTGTTACTGGTTACTAATCGCAGGAGAAGCGGGCAGGCTGGCACTCTGCGACCTTGCCACTGCAAGGTTAAGATGCACTCCCCTGGCCTTGAGCATTGGTTGATGGCAGAGAAGTGCAAGGGGAGCCAAGTTGCTGGAGTTCAGCTCTGTTCCTTCTCAGCTGTGTGACCTGGGGATGGTTTCCTCACCAATACAACAGAGTATATATATATATATATATATTTTTTTTTTTTTTGACAGGCAGAGTGGACAGTGAGAGAGACAGAGAGAAGGGTCTTCCTTTTGCTGTTGGTTCACCCTCCAATGGCTGCCACGGCTGGCGCCCTGCAGCCGGCGCACCGCGCTGATCCGATGGCAGGAGCCAGGAGCCAGGTGCTTTTCCTGGTCTCCCATGGGGTGCAGGGCCCAAGCACTTGGGCCATCCTCCACTGCCTTCCTGGGCCACAACAGAGAGCTGGCCTGGAAGAGGGGCAACTGGGACAGAATCCGGTGCCCCGACCGGGACTAGAACCCGGTGTGCCAGCGCCGCTAGGTGGAGGATTAGCCTAGTGAGCCGCGGCGCCGGCAAACAACAGAATATTCAGACTAGAAGTAATGGATCTACTTCACCCACTTCTTGTGAAGGATCCACTGGGCTAATATTTTTAAGGTGCTTAGAAAGGCACTGAGTACATTGAAATGCCATCTAGTAAATCAAAAGACAATAGAAAGGTAGCCGGACTCCCCAGGGAAAGGTGGAAAGGCCAAGCTACATGGCAGCAATGATTGGAAGTCGGAGGTGAGGCCAAAGAGAACAAGCCCTGAAAACTTCCCCAGGACAAAGTGGCACCAGGTGGGAAACTTTCAGTACAAAATTGCTGGGACAATTATGGTGCCCCAGCTGCAGAATTTCCTGCCCCCCTTGCCAGAAAAATCTTTGAAATGAGATAGGCGCTTATTAGCCCAGAAGGGTGTCGATTGAAGCCTAGGTAGAAACCTGAGAGTGGGTTATTTGATGTGCTCTGGAGGCCCTGTTTGTTATGGTGCCAAGATTAATTCCATAAACTGGCTTTGATAAAACCTAAAACAGGATTTAAAGAAGTGGCTAAAAGTGATTAGACAAAAAAAATCAGAAAAGGAACCAAAATTTTAGCCCTCTGAATTTTCCTAAAGGAATTCTTTTGGTTTGGTTTGTTTCTAATATTTGAAGACTTCCAGGTACCTACAATTTGTCACTTAAAACAACAAGGGAATGCAAAGCCCAGCGGTGTTTACAGAGGAACCCACTGTCCTTTCCACCAGCCTTTTGGAACAGTGGGTGTTCTGCAATGGGAAAGTTACACATAGCATCCCACCTTCGATGCATGGGATCTATACCATTCCTTGGATCTAGAGGACGACGACACGCCCCGGCCCTGGTCCCAGAAATTCCCACTCACTCTGCAGTGGAGATGGGCACAACATGTAGGCGTTCAGACAGAGTGGTGACTCTAAACCCTCATCTGTATGCTTCTAGCACTCAGTAATGCGTTCCACCTACTGACCCGTCTCCCCGCTTCCGTGGCCCACCGGCCGTGGTCTCGGGCTGCTGGTGGCAGAGGCCTCAGATGGAGATGGCTTTGGCAAGGTGCTGTGGCTGTCCTCAGCTGCAGTGACTGCCAGGCCCTGTATGAGGGTGACTGGCTGTATGGTTGTCCCTGGAAGAAACGGCAAATAATAGGCTTTTGTAGTCTCACCTGTAAGAAAATAGAATTACATCAGGGCTTGCAGGCTCTTATGAGGCCAGAAAGCATAAATGTTTCCTGAACACGAGCTCTGGGCAAAGACCCATGCTGCTGCCAGGGAGGTGAAATTCAGATAAACAGCCCACAATTCCTGCCTAAAGGAATGTACAATCTCAGAGCAATTAATCAATAAACACAGCAAGATTAAATAATATTTAAATGACAATTCAGAAATTACAACTACACAAGACAGGGCATGATTAATTGCCAAATTAATTTGTCCTGCACCACAAGAAATGGTTTGTGACACGTTTTAATTTTTTTCTGTTTCAACTGGCAGCGGCCTGCAGAGGGAGACACTTTCAAAGTATCCAACGTGACTTTTTCTCAGAGAATGCATTCTAGATGGTCTGGTTTAGCATGGCTGGTGGCCAGTCATCTAACTCCTCTGGGTCCCAGTTTCCCAGTTTGTAGACAGGACTAAGTATGGTAAGAGTAATTTAGATTTTACTTTAAAAAAATTAATCTGAAAGGCATCAGGAGGGAGAGAGGGAGAGGGAGTGGGAGCCGGGATAGGGAGAGAATCTTCCGTCTGCTGGTTCACTCCCCAGATGGCTGCAACTCCCCAAGGGCTGGCCTAGCGCTGGCTGAAGCCAGGCGCCTGGAACTCGGCCCGGGGTCTCCCACATGGGTGACAGGGGCTCAAGTGCTTGTATTAGGTAGGAAGTGAGAAATTAGCCTCTGTGTGTGTGGGTGGCAGGGGGTGGGGTCTCAGGAAGGAAAGGTTTCTTCAGAGAGGAGTGTAACAGCCTCAGAAGCTCACCTTGGAAGCAGCCCAGTATTTGACCCCACCAAATCCTGCCCAGACCTCGATAACTTTACAGGTGGTCCCAGCCTTCACCCCAAGGAAAGCTCTCCAGGAAAATCCTCTCGTCTCAGCACCCAATTGGTTACCCAGCCTTCAAGGCCGGCATTACTCTCTGGCTGTGAAACCACCTTCCTGGGCCCCCTACCTTTTATAAGGGTGCTGTTGATTGCATTTTGGGCCTGCTCAGATAATCCAGTCCCATCTCCCCCGTGCAGGTCCAATGTCTGTAGGTTCCGGAGGTTAGGAGTGGGTGTCTTTGGGAAGGGAAGGTAGTGTTTAGCCCTACCCTTCACCCCCATGGCGTCCCTCTGCTTAGGGTTCGTGCATTTCTGGTTCCCAGGACAGCAGCCCTAGGGGGTAGCATCTGAGACGAGAAGGTAGCTCTCACTTCCTCTGACATCTGTAGCACCCTGAGAAACAGCGCCAGGACCATAGTCCTGGAGCAGCTATGCAGACCAACTTGTGGTGTGGAGTTCAGAGCCACAGCCCAGCACTGGTACCTGCTCATTTCCCCACCCCAACACTCTCACCTCCTGCATTGACTTAGGGCAGGTCAGTGAACAGGGACCCTGGAATCGGGTTGGAATCCAGCCATTCGGGCTGCCCTTGCAGGCATTAGCTGGTCAAGGCAGGAGACCGATCTCTCATTCACTCTGCTGCTTGCTAAAAGTTTGTTCCCCTTAAATCTGCCTGCACACCGTGCCAGAGCACTAAAGAACTGGCAGTGAGCTCGGGTCTTTGCATCATCTTCCCCAGGCAATACCAAATCTGCCTGATTTATGACATTTCCATTACTTTGACGGGATTGGGCTTTTCTAACAAATCCTAGTGCAGTTCCTGAATGCTCCACAGTATTCATCTGATTCACTCTCTGGGAAATGCTAAGAGGCATTGCTGCCTCTCTTGGGAGATGGAGGCCCAGGTTTGACCTTCCTCATCTAGGGAAAAGCCATTTAACAGAATCGCTTGTACGCTTTAGGAAACAGGGCGTAATTATTAATTTGGAGAGAAATATATAAACATACTGATAGTACATTTTATTTTAAAAATTGCTAATTAAACCACAGTGTATTTTAAAAATAAAATTTACACTTGCAAGCAGTGAACATAGAAAAAAATCTTGCCTAACTATACCTCTTTCAATAAAGTGACAAACTTAAAAACATTGGGAAACGTAAATTATTGTTTTTCTCACAGCATTGTCTAATTGCAAGGCTTATGACTACCCCAGTTGCCTTTGGTGATATTGATTTGCTAGAGGAGAGGTTAAATATCTTGAGGGCAGTCTTTGTGTTAAGTGCTTAGAACACAGATGCTTTCCCACGCGGCCTAAATTCAACCAATATAGCCTTCTCTCTGGGCTTCTCTGGGCTTCCGTGACCTCTTGTTTGTCCCTGCTCTCCTTCAAGGGTTAGAAGTGCCTTGGAGAGGGGGCAGAGGGGACCAGTCTACCTACTCCAGCTGCTCCCAGTTCTTTCCTGAATATAATGCTCTTGATGTGATCCAAGGTGAATTCTTCATGGAACCTAGTTCTTTGTGAAGTTGAAGTTCATTTTGCAGCCACCTCTGGCTGGACTGGTCCAGGGAGGGGATTTAGCACACAGCCAAGGGAAGGAGGAGTTTCCTGTTGCTCTTGCTCAGTAGCCACTAATAAAGATAACACTTTCCCTTCTCTCCATGTGCCGCCTGGAATATGCCTGCCTGCCCAGGTGGTTTTTTTTTTTGTTTTTTTTTTTTTTTGTTTTTTTTTTTTTTTTGATCCGTTTCTACAAATCAGCCCTTACCTGTGTTGAGTTAGCTCTCAGCAGCTGAGACCCCCACTTGCCCCGTGACAGCCTTCTGCTCAGTGGCTGCTCAGTGCCTGGGGGAACAGCATCGAAGTGGCCAGCTGGGTCTGTCTCAGCGGGCGCCCAGGCTGCAGATCAAGGTGCTTCTGTTTTTCCAGTGGGAAAATTTTCGGAAAGAAGGTTGTTCTGCGTTTGGGGGTCCTCCTAACCTGATTTACCTGTTAACTCACATTCTTAGACTAGGACGAATTCTGTACCTACAAGCCGAGGCCTAGAGAATTGGCTGTCTTTGCTTCTCTCTCTCTCTCTCCTGCTTCCCTCAATTTCTATGGAAACTTATCACTTCAGGAAGAGTAGCAGCAAGGGGGCCACTCTTTGATGGTCTCACTGGCATCTCTCATTTAAATTGGTGAACCCTTACTCCGTA